TCTCAATTTTCACAATCTGGCCACCCCTTTTTTATACTGAGATTCTGTCTATACCTACCTCCTCTGTGTATCCATATGGACAGGTCTACAGTAGGGAATTATTTATTTTGAAATAACCCCCGTAAAATACGATTTCAAAATAACACTATTCCTCTTCAAAGGCAGGAGGAATTTCAAAACAACAAGCCTGTTATTTCAACACAACAGACTTGGTAGTGTGGATTCTTGCCTTATTTCGAAACAAGGGGAGTTATTTCAAATTAACTCCCTAGTGTAGACATGCCCTAATTGTCTACCCTCTTTTCTCTTATTGGTTTACATCCCCAAGAAACTTAAAGGAACCCAATTTTCTGTGGGTTGGATAAATTCCTTTTATTCTCATGAACACTGATGCACAACCTGCATCCGTAATTGAGACATCTGAAACAGATGCCCCTTTACAATATTTTTATTTACTTTCTGGGAAATTGTGAGCAATATTATCACTTCACCTCTTTTCCCATAGTCTTAGAGCATTGGGTTATTTTCTGGTCACTTCGTTGTCATTTTTTGTCTTCAGTGCCTCATATGGCTAAGCTAAGATCTTGCAGGAGTTAACCTACAGGTTCTTGCATTTCAGACCTAATTGCTATTTCTTGGTCCAAATTAAGAATGTTCACAAACGAGTAATTTACTAGTCGAGTAGTAGTTTGAAAGCAGTGCTGCATGGAGCTGACCCCAGGTTCTGTGTGGTGCTGCCCCTTTAAAACGCCACAGCAGCATTTAAGAGGGGCAGCACCGCACAGAGCCCAAGCTGAGCAGTGCTGCATGGAGCCTGGTGTCAGCTCCTTGTAGTGTTTCAAACGGGCAACACTGCATGGAGCCTGGGTATGGGCTCCATGAGGTGCTGTTGTTTTGAAGTACCCCCTTTCCCTGCCCCTTGCTGCCTCTATCTGATAGAAGCAGCAAGGGGGGGAGGAGAAATTAACTAGTCAATTCGACTATCCGATAAGCATTTGCTTATTGGATAGTCAACTAGTCCTTAACATCCTTAGTCCAAATGCCATTAGTAAAATTATCCAAATGCAGTCTGTTCCTTCATCCTATATAATGGTTTGGTGCTCACTTACTGTAATTGAGTACCTCACCTGAAAGACTTAAAATCCATGACCTTTCCTAAATCCAGCTTACTAAAATAGGGCTTCCAAACTCTCAGAAGATTCTGACAAAACAAAAGGATTGTGCTCATCAGATCTACATATGTTACATCTACCTGTGTGACATGTAGCCATATTTCATCCAAACACTGAAATCAAGCTTTGTCTCAAAAAAACAAAGCCTGAAATTCAAAGATATTTGGAGTGGAAATTAAATCAAGATAAGGTGTCAAGTAAATTGAGGACATACCAAATGAAAAGGAACAGTTATCCCCATCAAAAATTAGAGGACTTAAGGAATGGAAGAATTTAGGATCCAACCATAAAAAGAAATCAAGTCCTGAGTACTAGATTTGACATCTCAAATCCATAAGATTAGTATTTCACTGTTACCTATTGACTCTTCCCGTTTCTGTGCTGCAACCCTGCAGTCACACCTGGTCAAACCTTATGAGCTTTCTGATATACAAAGTGTCTTCTTATTTTATGTAAAAACAAAACATGGGGGTGAGGGGGAATCTGAAACTTGACTGAGGCATAATTTGACTGAGGCATTGAGCCACTAATGTAATAAAAATTGAATGATAAATCATCTTCAATCCCAAGTAGCAAAAATGAAATGGAATTAATATAGGACTGCAAGAACACATTTAAGACATGAAACTGAAAAAGTATAAGTTGCAGGTTTATTATGCGTTAGGAAGCTTAACTTAAAAACCAAACTGCATAGTACAAAAGGTCTGTTAATCTCTGCTCAAGGTGGAACAAGTTTCAAAATATATAATTTGTTTTTAAATTTGTTCAGTCAATACACAATCCTTTATAAAAACTGTATATCTGTCAGTACCCTCATTGCATTTATAAATACAAGATTTACACAGCATCCCCATCTGGAAAAAGATTAAAACTCCTTACAAATATCTACATATATTTCATACATACAAAACATTGATAGGAGTACTTTGTTAAACTCAGGTTTTGTTTAATGGTTCATTTACATTGCAACAAAATACATATAAATCTGTATATTTTTTCATAAAATGTCTAAAAATTAGCACAATACTTTGTAGACTCTGAACTTCTTTAAAGCATCTTTTGAAAAAGAAATTAATATGAGTATTTCCTTGAGATTCAGCAGGTGAGACACATTGATATGAAGGCTAAATAAGAATAAATGCACACTAAGTAGCAGTTAAGGCAGGGGTGAAATTAGTGGGAAGAGCCATTTCATACGGCAGACCAGAGTGACAAAAAAATAAATACACCCAAGTCTTGATGTAAGCTGCTTCAGCAGCCAGTTAACTAGCCCCTCACACAAACTAAAAAAAGGTCTGTATTTTCATGATTGTGTATCCTCCCAAATAATTTTCTACTAGCCAAGAACTGATGCCATCAATGCTCACAAGTGTCAACTGGATTTTCTTTTTAGCCACTTTAGGTCTCACACTGTCTGGGAATGTGGGTTTAAGACTTCAGTATGTCCTTCTCTCATAGTTGGTCATGTGTGATCCCTCATCTGTAAAAAGTAATTGTTTAGTTTTATCAAAGCCCTAAGAAGTCTGTAGGATATTGTATTAGTACGAGATACAAATATTTGATAATATAGGTTCAAGAATTTTAATATGAGTCTGTAGGATATTGTATTAGTACGAGATACAAATATTTGATAATATAGGTTCAAAAATTTTAATATGACCTTTATATATCAATATTTCAGATACTAAAACTATAGATTGGTTTCTCCCAAACCTATGAGGGCTACACAGGGACATACATCCAAAGAAAAGGCTTAAGGAATGTAAAATTTAATTTTAGCTATTTTGACAGGAACTGTAGTCTGCCTCAAACCTGTTTATTTTATGTATAGTAACTTTAGAGACCTGAATGTTCAAATTTTATTAATGTTTGTTCTCTCCAAGGTCTGTGTATTGAGGTTTTCAATCCAACATAGGGCTTGAGATGGCATTTTCACTTACACATTAGGTACAGGGGAAAAGAACTTAAACCTTACCTTGCCCTCATACACAAAACAAATGCCACAGTAAACATTTGATAGTGTGAACCCAAAGCAGACACCAATATCCACACAACATGATGCATGGCCTTCACTTGCACATGGTTCTATCCTTCCTTAAGAAGCCAGAAACTCCACAGCACTCTGTCCTGTCTTGTGGGTTCACAGTTCAGTGCATGGATTTTGATTTAGATCCTCCTTTTTCAAAGCTAGCCCTCATACACTGCTGTCTTGCAGCAAAGGTTCAATGTCCTCATCACTGCCACGATCTGGGTTGTTGCTCTGGGCACTGCTGATGCTGTTGCTCTGCTTCCTGGTACAGCTGGCTTTACTGTGCTCAGGAATGAATAAGGCAACCAGAAAAGCTAAAAGAACTGCACATGCTCCAAAGAGGAAAGGTGGGCCAGGGATGATAGCACTCTGAAACAACAAAACAGACATGTCAGAAGAGCATGAAACTGATATCTTATTAAAATACTACACCAATAAATCAGGAAGCAATAGGGACAATTTTAAAAATTCTCTTTACTAGATGTGTGTCTCATTGCATGCTCTGTATGTGCATTACAACTAGAGTTGGCTGAAATTAGGTGAACTCTTCACCCTCTGGAAAAAAAAGTTTCATTCAGCTGAAACCCAGTGCTTTTTTTGTGATGGTACAGCCCGGTACGCAGTACCGGCACCTCCAGTCAGAGCTCCAGTCACAGCCCCTGCAGTACCGGTACCTTTTTTTCTCAAACCAATCAGAGCTCCAGTCACAGCCCCTGCAGTACCGGTACCTTTTTTCTCAAAAAACAAACAAAAAAACCAAACAAACAAAAAAAACCACACCACACACTGCTGAAACCTATTTGTAAATTCATGTCAAGTTCACTGAACAGCTGACCAAAAGCCTTCCCCTGAAGCAGTTATTCAGAAGCGAACTAAAAACAAGATTAAACATGTTTTTGATTTTGTTTCTTTATGACACATAAAGATGCCAATGCCATAATAAAAAAAATGGATTCAGCTCACTGCTTTTTATTTTTGTACTGAACAGAAGTATATCTTTCTCTCAACCTCAGTATCACATTAAGATGTCACCAGAGCTTTGGCTGTCCCACTCTTAACAAAGGGAGCCCTCCAAAAATCTTCCAACAAAGACAGAAAATAAGGATGTGATTTTAAGCTCCCATCAAGAAGGAAAAAAGTATTGCATATGGTTGCAAGAGGTCATATTTTTGTTGCTCTTAGTTTTATCATTAAAAAAACTGCAAAGGAGAGAGAAATCTTCAAACTACTCTGTCCTGTTGACCCAGAAGTCAGCATGTGCTGCATGGTCTGCACTGTACTGCATTCACATGTATTTGTGTAATTTCAATAGTCCTATGTGATCAAGTTAAATCTTTGATCCACCAGTCCATGTACACAGATGGTTCAAGGCCTAGCCATGTTGACCAGTCTGCATCTCCCCTTCTGGGAAAGGCCTCTTTAGGGTTCCAAATCTATATCAGTGCAACAATTTTATGGGAGGGTAAGGTCTAGCAAGTACCAAATTTCACATGGTAAATCAGTTTCAAGAATTTGAATAGCAAACACATTTTTACTATGAGTAACTATCAAGAGTGGAAACTGAATAGAGTTCACTGCTGTGGGAATATGTTGATTCAAATGATCTTATTTCTATTTTTATCTGCTAAGTGGGATGCTAAGAACCACTGCTGTCAATTAAGTTTCAGTGGGTTCTCCCATGATGTCATATTTGCAAGTTTCCAAAGCCTCCAAAGAGTTACAGATAAAATACAGGAAAAAACTTTAAAAAACCCAACAAATAGTCTGGTAGCACTTTAAAGATTAACAAAACATGTAGACGGTATCATGAGCTTTTGTGGGCACAGCACACTTCTTCAGATGACCAGAGAGTTGGATGTCCAGAACCTAGAATAAATGGGAGAAGAAATGGGAAGGAGGGAGAGAAGGAAAAAATTGGAGGGGGGGAGGGAGGAAGGAGGGAGAGAAGGAAAAAAATTGGAGGGGGGGAGGGAGGGCGCGCGCGGAGAAAAAGAGGCAGTGGGTAGATAAGTTTCAAAGGGAAAGCAGAGCCAGTCAGTAACAGGAAAAACTGAACAACAGCAGATAGTTAAAAGAGGCAGATAAGAACCATTAGTTTGCACTTGGAGAGGAAGAGTAGAACAGGTTCTACACAAACAACAGTATATGACATATAACCGAGTCATTCAGAACGCAATGCTATCTATACACAGCCTCAAAAACAATCCTAACATCATAATCAAAGAGGCTGACAAAGGAGGTGCTGCAGTCCTCATGAACAGAACAGATTATGAACAGGAAGCAAACAGACAACTCACCAATACCAGATTCTACAAGCCTCTCTCCTGTGATCCCACTAAAGAATACCAAAAAACCCTGAAGCCTGTTCAAGAAGCTCCCTGATGCTACTCAAGACCAAATTTACACTAACACCTTCCTTCCCCCCTCCCCCCCAATACTCTGACCAGGAGTTTTGTATCTGCTGCCCAAGATACACAAACCTGGAAATCCCAGATGACCCATCATCTCAAGTATTAGCACCCTTACAACAGGATTATCTGGCTATATGGACTCCCTCCCCAGACCCTATGCTACCAGCACTCCTAGCTACCTCCGTGACACCACTGACTTCCTGAGGAAACTTCAAAATTTCAATAATCTACCGGAAAATACCATCCTAGCCACTATGAACATAGAAGCCCTTTATACCAACATTCCACCTGAAGACAGATCACAGGCCATCAGGAACACCACCCCCGATGACAGCACTGCACACCTGATTAGAGAGCTCTGCGACTTTGTCCTCACCCACAATTACTTCCAATTTGGAGACAATTTGTATCCTCAAGTCAGCAGCACACAGCCAGGGGCACCGCATGGCACCACTATATGCCAACATCTTTATGGCTGACCTTGAACAACATTTCCTCAGGTCTTGCCCCCTAGGACCTTTACTCTATTTACACTACACATCAATGACATCTTCATCATATGGACCCGTGAGAAAGAGACACTTGAACCATTTCACAGACTTCAACAACTTCCACCCCACCATCAACCTCAGCCTGGATCAGTCCACATGAGAAATCCACTTCCTTGACACCACAGTACAGTCATGTGACAGACAAATTTCCACCACCTTGTATCAGAAACCTACTGACCACTATACTTACCTTCATGCTTCCAGCTACACCCCAGACACATTTCTTAATCTGTTGTATACAGCCAAGCCCCAAGATACAACCGGATTTGCTCTGATCCCACAGACAGAGACAAACACCTACAGGATCTACATGGAGCATTCTTAAAACTGAAATACCATCTGGAGAAGTGAAAAAACAGATTGACAGAGTCAAAAATGTACCCAGACATGAACTGCTTCAAGTCACACCCAAAAGAGAAAACAACAGAATTCCACTTGTCATTGCCCACATATCTATACAAGTGATTTCATCACTGGACCCAACCACATCAGCCACCAAGTCAGAAGCTCATTTAACTGCACATCCAGTAATGTGATTTATGCCATCAAATACCAGCAATGCCCCACTGCAATATATATTGGACAAACTGGACAGTCCCTATGGGAAAGAATTAATGGACACAAATCAGATATCTGAAAAGGGAACACAAAAAAACCTGTTGGAGAGCACTTTAATCTCCCTAGACGCTCATTAAGGGATCTCCAAGGTGCTGTTTTGTTACAGACCAATTCCACAAGCCAAATACACAGAGAAGGATTGGAATGTCACTTCATTCACAAGTTTAATTATCATGCAGATGGTTTAATTCGCGATATTCGATGGCTGGGACATTATCAACCTTCAGACAATGAAGGTGCTGCCAAATGGTTCTTGATGTCTGCATAGAATCTGTTATTAGTAGTCTTCCTCTCCTGGGCTACATCTAGACTGCAAGCCTCTTTTGAAAAAAAGCATCTAGACTTCAATCAGTACTTTTGAAAAAGCAAGCCGCTTGTTCGAAAGAGAGCACCCAGGCAGTCTGGATGCGCTCTTTCAAAAAAGCACAGTTTGCATTCAATAGTGCCTTTTTTCGAAAGAGCACTCCTCTTCCTCGTAAAATGAGGGTCTCTGTGGTTGAAAAAACTGCCGTGTTCTTTCAATTTACTTTTGAAAGAACATGGCAGCAGTCTAGACGCAGGGGAAGTTTTTTCGAAAAAAGGCCACTTTTCAGGGAAAAAAAACTGTAGTCTAGACATACCTCAAGTGCAAACTAATGGTTTTTATCTGCCTCTTAATTATCTAGCCTTTAAGATGCTATTAGACTATCTGTTGTATTTTTCACTTTTTCCTGTTACAGACTAGCTTGGATTTCCCTTTGAAACTTATCTACCCACTGCCTCTTACTCCCTCTTCCCCCTGCTTTTCCCAATTATTCTTGACTCTGGACATCCAAAACTCTGGTCATCTGAAGAATTGGTAGTGCCCACGAAAGCTCGTGATACCATCTACATGTTTTGTTACTCTTGAAAGTGCTACCAGACTATCTGTTGCTTTTTAAGTTTTTCCTGTTGCAGCCTAACTCTGCTACCCCCTGAAGATAAAGTACAGTATTTTAACACAGAAGCCTAACAGAAGAAACTCTGTATTAGATGGAAAAACAAAGAATATTGGAAAAACAAATTCTGTCACAGATTATGAATGTGTTTGGATCACATCAGCAGAAGCAACCTAAAATCTTTCTGATTTTTATCGAAAAAGCAACTTTTTACAGGAATCAGATGCCACAAAAATCCTTTTATTCATACACAAAAATGTCCACATACAGAGAGATAATTAGGCCTCTTGAAAAAAACAGAGCTTTCAGGCAACACTAAACGAAGTGTGAGGGCTGAATGGGCCAGGGTAAAAAGAGCAGAGAGAGTGAGGTAAAAGACAAGAAGAAACAGCTAAACAGTTTTGATATTAGTGAAGGAACAAAAAATTGATGTAAGTAGGCACATAGACAAGAAGCAGTAGTAGTTTAAACTTTACATGATGATCAAGAGGAAGACAGCAAAAGCATTTCAAAAGCATCTATTTAGTATTACTGGAAGAAATAATAAAGGGGCCAAAAGGCATTAGGGCAAAATGTCAAAGAACATACAAGTTTACTGAATTATACTTTTCTAAGTGTCTTCATTTAAAAATATGATTGTTATGATATCTATAACTATATGCCAGAGTCTTTTCATATGTTTCCTCAGTTTGAATAAACTGGCTATAATTAGATAAGAATCTTTTTACCACCATCACCACCACATCAGACATAAAAAATCATAGTTTATTCTTGTATCAAAAATTTTTCAGTGCAGCTATTAGCAACATTATAATAACTACAAACCAAAGCTATTTCTTTGACTCTAAAATCTGTTATTTGCTTTGTTGCTAGCTTTAAAAGCATCTCTTATGTAATTAAGAATAACACGAAAACACAGGAACAAATACCAGGAGTTCAAGATTAAGATATTTTAGTCATGCTAATTTGATACTTCTGACTGAAAAATAAATGAAGGCAGTCATGAATTTACCTCATCACTAGGATCCTGCATGGTGGTATCAGAACTCTGGACAGGTGCCAATTCATTGAGCTCCACATGGAAGAGAAAGAATATAAAACCATAGAGAGCTGGTCCAAGACCATTACAGAGACCTCTGATTCCAGTTATTATTCCCTGGACAACACCTGTGGAAGGAAAACACAACAGTAGTGAAGAAGGCAACCTTCTAACTGTCCTCATTTATTTGTTCTAACTTTAGACTGCAAGCTCATCAGGGCAGGAATCTGATAGTTACATTTGCCTTTAAAGTACCATAGCACTATAGAATATACCTAATATTTCATTGGCCCTCCTTTATTTTTATTAATAGGATAATGCAAAACTTCTCTTAACTGTTTAATAGACTAAGCTTACCTTCCACTTAATTTTAAGAATTGCTTTTAAAAGACTAATAGGATAATGCAAAACTTCTCTTAATAACTGTTTAATTCTACTATGCAACAGACTAAGCTTACCTTACACTTAATTTTAAGAAATGCTTTTAAAAGAAGACTAACTAGATTTTAATTAGCTTCCACATGGGCACAGTTTGTTCATATATTAACGTGCTTCTAGCAACATTTTCAATTTTCAACTAGAGGGGGTCTGAATTAGATTTTATCTACATATTCCAGCTATGACAGGTAAATTCAGCCTCCTTGCTTTCCCCAACTCAACCTCTTTCGAAACTTACACTGAACGAAATCAGTTTACGGTGGTATTTGCCTTATCTAAAATATAGTTAGCCTTGGTTATACAAGTACATTTCTACTTTCAAAACTACCTTAAGAACATAAGAACGGCCGTACTGGGTCAGACCAGAGGTCCATCTAGCCCAGTATCCTGTCTACCGACAGTGGCCAACACCAGGTACCCCAGAGAGGGTGGACTGAAGACAATGATCAAGTGATTTGTCTCCTGCCATCCCTCTCCAGCCTCTGACAAACAGAGGCCAAGGACACCATTTTATCCCCTGGCTAATAGCCTTTTATGGACCTAACCTCCATGAAATTATCTAGCTTAAAGCAACCTATAGACTCAGATTTTGTTCTTCATCAATAACATCCTGCTGTTGTCTGATCCTCTTCAGATAAATCTTATTCCTGTTGAGGGGTAGCTCAGGAAATTTTAAGTACTAAATTAATAAAGATTTTCCCCACATTTGTAGCAGGTTGATGGATACTAGCTTAGGTATTATCACTTTAACAAGTGCCATTATTAATCACTGCTTTTCTTTGTCTCACATAGCATCATCTCATGCACAAGCAATCTAAAGAAACAGACATGAACAAAACAGATCTTCAAGTTGGTATGAAGTTACTATTTTTAAATTATGTAGAGACCATTTTTAATTGACGTAAGTAATAACAAAAATCAGGGAAAATGTGATTCCATGAGCCACTGAAACCCCTCTTCCTCCCCCCCCCCAAAAAAAAAACAGTAGGGAAGAATCCTTTTGGATTCATGAGTGCAAGTCACACCGTTTTGTTTCATTTCTGTTCTGTTTTGGGGAAGAGGTGTGTAATTACAACCGTGGTTTCCTTTCCACTAGGTGGCACAACTTCACTCTGGAATTCCAATAATACTTTCATGTACAGCTTTTTAGTAGTTTTGAATGAACAGTACACAGCTGTATGTGTCCCTACCACAAAACTCTTCACTGCTACTTAATCGTTTTTGTTTGAAATTTTTTTCCTTCCACAATACAGGAAACCAACAAGCACAATACCTCATTTGAAACCTAGTCCACTCTTAGAATGTAAACATTGTAAACCGTTAGCCTACAGAAAACTGCCAAATGTATTCAAATACCACCTTTCCCAACAAAAGACTGCCTCCTTAGACTGTATCCTTACTTTAATTTTTGTCTTTCCCATTTCATCTCTATGTCCTCATTTCTAACTTTAGACTGTAAACTCATTCGGCCAGGGACTTGGATAGTTACATTTGTCTTTAAAATACATCGGCACTACAGAATATAGCTAACTGTTTCATCAGTATTAACTGCTGACATTTCTACTTTAAAGCACTCACAGGTTCTCTTTCTCCAAATTACCATTTGAAATAAACATGAATGCTCACATCTCATCCTCTGTGTCAGTACTTCACCATTTCTGCTTCTCCAGAGAGATATACTATGAAATTTATGTTTTT